GCTCTCCCTTGTAAGCAGTGCATGTCCTAATATTGTGCTTCCTGGACAGGGTTACTAGCCAGCCAGTGACAGGGCCACATCATGACCCAGGGCCATGCACCCCCCGCGGCAGTTTTTCAAGAAATTCCCAATGTGTAGGAGGGTGAGAATAATATCCCTCACGTATTAATTGGGTGAGCTTTGTTATTACTAAATGGGCGTAGAATAAGATGACTTCGTCATGGGTGGAGCGAGCTTAAAGTTTAATGATAAGGAATTTAATGTAGTGAGAGGAGTCAAAATAAGAGAACACTCATCTTAAATAGACTTATTACTTAGACACTTTTATCAGTTATTCGCTCCTTAACTCCTCAAAGTATATTGTTTATACGATAATTGATACATTAAAAGGGTCTTTTTCGATACTTATAGGAAGATCTTTTTCTACTCTAACACCCACACACTAGATATGGACTAAACATGATGGACATTCGTGAGTTGAAAAGAACCCTATTCATATTAAATAGAATTCATTATTAATTCAACAATATGAGTAAATTAGGTCAATAAATTAAATTAAAAAATTAAGTTTAAAAATCATGATTGAACGGATAATAACTTGGTTATCTAGGTCATGTTTAGTTTCCATTACAAAAACTATTTTTATTTTCAAAAATAGTTTTTGGAAGAAAAATTGTTTGACTAGTTTTTTTTGTTTTTATTTTTTGCAAACTGAGAAAAAAAACTGGATAAATTTAGAGAATAGATTATGATTGTGTCTTTTTAAAAACCAGCTTTCTAGAATTTAGAAAAGAAAGCACCACCATCACCACCACAACTACACTCCCATCACCACCACAACATCTACCACCACCTCTGTTTTTATTATTTTTTAAATTATTGTATATACAAGTTTTATAGTTTTTTTATTTCGGAGAACTATTTTTGAAATTATATTCATATAAATAAACAAGTTTTACGATACAAAAAAAACACCAAAAATAATTCTCCAAAACTCTTTCTAAAAATAATTTTTGAATACTATTTTTTTGATATGTAAACCAAATAAGACTCTAGATTTGTTGACTATTGAGAGCAACTCACAAGTTGCAACCAACCTTTTTTCCTTGAACACAATTGGTTATTATGAAAAATTCCTCAAAATTCATGATTTATTTTTCAACTAGCGATAACCATGCCTGAATACACGGCGCAATTAAAAAAAAAATCGAACATTGTATGAAAATGTTGTGTATATGCATGTGCTTTATGTGGAATATCAGTTCCACTTTCATGATATGATTGTAGAAAAGAACTATAGTTTGCTGCTGAAGGTCAAAGACTACCTCTACTTGGAATGTTGTGCAGGCTGCCATTGAATTTGAGGCATGAGTAATGATATATTTATCGAAATATTTATTAAAAAGTAATTTTATCAAATAAATTAATAATTTTATATCCAATAAAAAATATTTTGATCAATATTTAGTTGGTCCAGGAGTGATATAGATTTGCCAATTCATTTAGTAAATATATTTTTTGATAAAATTTTTGGTATGCAGAACATTTTCAAGTAAAATAGTCTAGTAAAAAACAATGAAACAATATTGCTAGTAATAACCCCCATCAAAAATGAAAGGAAAAAACCCAAACCAGGGGCTTCAACATTTGAACACTTTGAGCATCAATTAATTCATTAATTTTCTAAACTACAAAAGACACGGGAACAAAACAATACTAACAAATTATAAAACACCAGCGTGGGCCTTGAAATGAAACTTGAAGATCCAAAATTGCCACTAGGCCCATTACAAGGTGTACCACTAGGCCCAATCTCTACCATGGGAAAGCCTGATTGAAAGCACTAAATAGCCCTCCTCCCTTGTAAGCAGTGCATGTCCTAATATTGTGCTTCCTGGACAGGGTTACCAGCTAGTGACAGGGCTACATCATGATGGGGTTTTTCAAGAAATTCCCAATGTGCAGGAGGGTGAGAATAATATCCCTTACGTATTAATTGGGTAAGCTTAGTTATTACTAAATGGGCATAGAATATGATGATTACGTCATGGATGGAGCGAGCCAAAAGTTTAATGTGGTGAGAGAAGTCAAAATAGGAGAACGATCATTTTGATCGGGCTTACTATCTAGATACTTTTATCAATTATTTGCTCCAAACTTAACTACTCAAAGTATATATATATTTTCTAGAATAAGATGATTATGTCATGGATGGAGCCAGCTAAAAGTTTAATGTGGTGAGAGAAGTCAAAATAGGAGAACAATCATCTTGATCGGGCTTACTATCTAGATACTTTTATCAATTATTCACTCCAAACTTAACTACTCAAAGTATATATATATTTTTTAGAATTATCGGTAAAAAATTTATTACTCAGGAAAATCAGCAAAAAAGAGAGGCATAATAAAGTCTGATACCTACTTCAATCATACAACGCTACTATTTAAAATAGCTCATGAGTTAACTCGTTTTGTTTTACCTTTAAATAGTAACGTTTTTTGGTTGGAGCAGACACCAGACTTTATTATGCCTCTCCTTTTTGTTGATTTTCCTAAGTAATAAATTTTTTATCGATGATTCTCAAAAAAAAAAATATACTTTGAATAGTTAAGTTTGAAGCGAATAATTGATAAAAGTATCTAGATAGTAAGTCCGAGCTAACTCATTGTTCTCCTATTAGGTGACAATATGAGTAAATTAAATTAAAAAATTAAGACTAAAAATCATTATGGAACAGATAACAACTTCGGTATCTAGGTCATGTTTAGTTTCTATTTCAAAAATTATTTTCTATTTTCGAAAATAGTTTAAAAATAGTTTGACCAATTTTTTTATTTTTTGAAAACTGAGACAAAAAACTAGATAGATTAAGAGAATAAGTTATGATTGTTTTGTGTTTTTTTGAAAACCACATTTCTAGAATTTAGAAAAGAAAGCACCACCATCACACTTCCACCACCTCCAAAACCACTGCACTCCCATCACCACCACAACATCCACCACCACCATTTTTCTGTTTTTATTATTTTTTAGATTATTGTCCAAATAAATTTTATAGTTTTTTATTTTGTAGAATTATTTTTGAAATCATATAACTAAATAAGTTTTGTGATAAAAAAAAACACCAAAAACAATTCTCTAAGACTTTTTTTAAAAATAATTTTTGAATACTATTTTTTGACATGTAAACCAAATAAGAACCTAGATTGATTGACTTCTAATTTACCAACTTGCATTAGGTGGGATAGAAGGAGTTCATCACGTAGGGTCCACAGTTCTGCCTCGGTGATTGGGACCCGTTTTACCCCTCCAGAAAAACCCCCGGTCCAGAAGTTTTAACCACATAAGCTGAGTCGTCCAGCCGACAAGGATTTGGGTTCGGAGTCGGGTTGGCTTGGAGGTTGGTGTAAGGTAGAAAATTCTTAAATCCCTTACATTGAATCATTTTCTTCTAAACAACAACACTAACTAAACTTGAGGCAAACTAAAAGATACTCAAAATTGCGGAATAAATTGATAAAAAAATAAAAAATTCCAAGTTAAAATCAATGAAAAACTTTGAAGGTGAAGATTAAAATTAAACAAAAAATGCTATTGCAAAACTCGGATTGAATAATTTAATCAAAAAATTAGTTACTTTGTTGCCCCTTTTTTCAAGGTTTCATTGTGCTCTCTTTTAGGTTTGTTTTCTCTCCGCTAGAAAGGATTTCTCCTCTAGTAAAATACATTCTTCAAAAGTTGTAATAGCTAAGTAATCATTGTAGAAGTGATTTATCCATTTATATTAAAAATAAATCATTTGCAAGTTAATGTGTATGATTAAGACTCCTTATTCTCGTTGAGGGTTTGTTTAGATGGTCTTTAGGGGTTACTGAATTGCATTTATCAAATTCTTCTAAATTCGAACCCAAGATTTTGTACATAGAATGAAAGAATTTATCCTATCCAATCTCATATTTGCTAAATGATATGAATACATGTAGGCCCATGGATTCATGTCAAGTCATGAATAAGAATTATTATATTTTGTTACTCAATTGACTAAATATCTATTATTGGATGAATAGAAGAATGAATATTTGAATAAGGAAATCTTGTTATCTATAAATCCAATATCTCACTTTTGAAACCCACCCCTTTCACGAGTTTCGTCAAACCCTTATTTATAGGTTTTAATCTATTGTTATTAACATCTCATAATTCAAATCTTCGGTCTCAAATTTTAAACCAAACATAAGTTTAGAAACTGCACATGACTATTTTCATAAAACCCATTCAAACCCCACATGCCATTACCAAACATGGCCTAAAATTTTAAAACTCCCAAAGATAAAATTTCTATGAAAATAACAAAGTATAATCCTTACCTAGATTGAATTTCATCTTCACATCTCGCTTAAAACTTCTCACTCCTTCACATAGATCCATCAATATATGTAAATAATAGAAATACTACTAATATTAGTCATAATCTATACTATTAATTGAGGGAGATGTGAGATTTAGTGTTCACCCATAAAATAATTATAAGAACAATGTTACAGAAACTCAAAAATCTGACTTAATGATGTCGTTGTTATATTTGTCATTGATTTAATTGTGAAATTTAATATTTTTTAGAACACACTACCTATTCAATGATAATAATTCATCAAATCAAATTTTTAATTTAATTTTTTAAATTTTTTTAACAATGTTATACTGACTAAAATTTTTTACCAAAATTTTCATTCTAAGTGATGTGACACAGTTTTCATCATCAAATAAATGAGTTCTATTAACATTTAATGATGAAAATTAAATCATATCACTTAATATAAAAAATTTGATAAGTTTAACATTAGTCTAAATTTATTTAGTATTTTCCTAATTATAATACCCAAAATTGTTTATAATAATTAACTATTCATGACTATCTCTCCTGCCGTATTGTTTATAAAATACCAATATGATTTGATTGGTACCAATATAATGGGTGCCCATGCAAAGTAGTCAAGCGAACGTTCTTCGCCTCTGGTGTTGCCTAAGAAAACGGGAAGGGAATGTACGTGTTGCCAGCAAACCTCGGGTACCTGTATAAATTCTCTCCTTCATTTACCCGACATTTTTGTTGCGTCTTTCACACAACACCCACACACATTCATTCATTCTCTCTCTTTCTCTCCATTGTTGCTTCTGCCCATCCCTGAATACCAATAAACAACTAATCCTTTCCGTGTACACGGAGTCACCGACTACATACACGCGTTTCCATTTTCATTGCGAAAACTGTGCACAAATAAATAAGGAACAAGACTTTTCACGAATCAATGGTCTGTTTGAATTTTGAAGCCCCTAATGGAGAGTTTTTTCCGTAGTTTGACAATCTAAAACACTTATATATGGTTTTGCAACGACAATTCTTGACTTTCGACAGGTCAGTTTTTTTTTTCTCTACGCGAAACTTCCTCTCTCTTTCTTCCTCTATGTGGAATTGGGAAAATAAGGGGACACAGATCCTTTAATTCGTTGATAATGGTCTTATGTTTGTGATTAATGAATTGTTTGGCACTTTTTTCCCAGGTTGTGGATTGGAATTCTTGTGTGCCGACGAATTATTTGTGATTTTGTTTTATCTCTTCAAATGTTGCCTTTGAAAATTTATATGCACTTTACAAAAATTTGATGTGTTTTTTTTTTCGCTAATTTTATTGGTTGGTGAATTTGGGCTGCGCAGTTATGGCCATATTTGGAGATGGGTTTGTGCTTCTGGCCTCGCTACCGCATTAGGATATGGCTACTAACAATTTACAGATGGCTGGGATCAACTCCCATCTTGAAGTGAGTTACTTTCTTCTCTGTATTGCAATATCCTCTCATACCGAATGATTCTATTAATTGTAAACCTTCCTCGGGGATGTACAATCTAGTTACTGTCAGACCACCAAGAAACTCTTTCTTGGTGCTAGCAGAAATGAGTGGAATTCTTGTTCCATGTTCCAAATTGTCCATCACTTATCAGCAAGTGGTGTAACTACTTTGTGTAGTACCTGGTAAATTCAGGACACATGTCCACACCATGGAAGGACATTGCATTTGGGCCCAACAGGTCCCGCAGAATTGGTACAGGCAACACTGCTGCAGCAGCATCCAGTGTCCCACAGAACCTAGTGTCGCGGAAGCACCCAGTGTCACAGGCACCCTGTGCCACGGCAGGCACTGCACACTGCAGGAAGCATCAAGCACGACAGAAGTGCGGGACATATCCTCATCACATTGGAAGAAGCAAAATGGACTCTTGACCAAGAACGGACAATAGTGACACCACAGAAGTCTGGAGGCAACATTGACATGACTCGCATCCCTCATTACGAAAATAAGACGCAAAGTTGGATTCTCACAATTGACGAAATTTCTATCTTCAACCTACCCTCGACGAGTACCCTCGGATTAGGACCCCTAGGGAGAACCTGGAATCCATTGGATGCTCGTTGTGGTAAAATCAACCAATAGGATATTGTTGCTCGACTGGCCAGGGGAGGGGTCCTCACCTAGGGACAAGGCTGTATGACCTTCCTCAAGAGAGAATTAAGCAACAGGAGCATATGAGCATAATTGTCAACCTCAGTCTAGGGCAAAGTCTCGAAGGTTTAGTTTACGTAAATAGGTCTCCCAGTGTATGACTCACTGTTCACTGGGATGTGTTTGACTGAGATTCGGAGGGACTCCTAAGATAACTGGAGTCATTGATCCAAATCGATGATGGGACATGTGGATTGGTGGTTAAAGGACCGAAACTATGCGGGTCTCCCTTATTGTGTACTTCGACAAAAGCCTCGGGGGAGAGTTCAAAGAGGGAAGAGAAGATCCCGGATAAAAGTGTGTTAGGGGCACCGCGGACATGACCCTTCCATAGTTATAATCCCGCGCGATGACCCATCATGACCTTTGACCTTGAGAGTCTCCCTTTAACCTTATCTGTTGCACCCCTTCTTGAGGGTTGTGTCCAAGCGGTGTTCGAGGAAACGTTACATCCGCCTAATTAATACGAGGATACTTAGCTCACAGTGAGCGGACACCGGTATCCCCGCAGTCAAGGCAATTGTAGGTCAACACAGATGTGAGTATAGCGTTGACCCTCAGTCCAAGTATTGTGCCATAAATACCTGTATTACTTGCCTACTGTAGGACACACTTCTATCTAGTCTGAGATAGGCATCCTAGTTGGTGAGAGCATTTACCCCCTCCACATACTCTTTGCCCACTAGTTGGTCCCTCCATTAATAGACCACAAGGTTCTTCTATTCCATCTACTTATCCTACTCACCCCATTGAGTACACTTGACTTAGACACGTGTATCAACCTTTTTTAACCGCCCACCTATACTGTGTAAATTTTCAAATCAATTGTGATGAGATAGTGTGAGGTTAGGAGTCTGCCAGTGGCACAAGCCCTGAATTGGAAAGCTGAATGACAACATTTTTTCCCTGCAATCATCTCAAGCATTTCTCAGACTGTTATTGCTATTAAAGTATAAATACTTCAGTTACACTATCTCTAACAACTTAAACTCTTAGAGTAAAAGATGGTTTAACATGATATCAGAGTAGGAGGTCATGCGTTCGAATCTCACCGTCACCTTGCTAATTAAAAGATTTCTACAGGTTAGCCCACAATCTGGCCTACACGTGAAGGGCGTGTTGAAGTGTACATACTTAAATTACACAGTCGCTAACAACTTAAATATTTAGAGTAGATGGTGGTTTACCAGATAGATACTCTATAGTGATTTGCACTTGCTGCCAACACCAAATGTGAGGTGGCAAACTCGTGGAGATTTACTGCCGATATTACTATCCTGAAGAGATTGTGTATGTAGTTTTAAATTCCACCAGACATTTTGAATTTGTTATCTGATGAAAGACATTGGTTTCACAGATGGGAGCACTAGAAGGGAGATCTACACTTGAGTTTGAGGATGAGAGCCTCGCCAGCCCTGGGCCATTTAGTAATAAGACATCTTCTCTGGATGCAGCCCCGAACAGATTTTTCTTTGATGATGGTTCTGAAGATTTTGGTTGTAGATGTATATGTAAAAGCGTGTTAAGAAGCATTGCAGTTGTTTTCTTCACCAACAAATTAAATTTACTTTTACCATGTGGCCCTTTAGCAATACTGGTTGATAAGTTGACCAAACATGATGTGAGTTACAAGTATCTTACACTTCCAACTTCTTCCATATCATTGTATACATGTTTGTCTTCATGCAGTTTATTGATTTCAGGGTTGGGTATTCTTGCTAAGCTTATTGGGCATCATACCTTTAGCTGAGCGGTTAGGTTGGGCTACAGAGTAATGCTCCGACTCATATCATCTACATATATGTCACATCTACATATGGATAAGAATACGAATACGTGCTAAATATATTTATTTATTCTCTGCAAAAATGCTTAGCTGTGTGTGTCTAATGAATAAACACAGAAATGCTTCTTTTTATTTCACTAGAGGTCCCTATAATTGTTCTATAATATGTCGGTACAGAAGAAGAAAAGTTTTATTGCACAGGTCACGATTTAATTGTTTCATCATTTGAATGTAACTTTGCATTTGACATGAATACCTAAGTCCACATAGCATAGGTTTCATTTTACAATTGCATTAATTTAGATTGATGCACACCTAATACAGTTTCGCCTCTTTCAACGTAGGCAGCTGGCTTCCTACACTGGATCTACAGGTTTCTTCTACTATTTTTTTTTATCATTTGTTGGTTTGTTCTTCATTGTCTCTTCTGATTTCTTCTTATTAAATTATCAGCCTTAAACATTTTTTATTTGTACCACTACATGGTCACAGGGTCTAAATAAAGCTGCCATTGTTCATTTTATTCCATGTCAATTGTCTGATTTTATTCTATTTTGTTTGTGGTTGCATGATTTTAATTATTAGTCCGACTGACTTGGAATTGGTATAGTCAATTCCTTTCCAGAAGTGCACGTCGGTTATGTAAATTAAAATTATATCCTTAGCCACTAGTTTTAACTGCTTTAGCTGCAAAATGAAAGTGAACTTTCCATATATTGTAATCACACAGAAAAACTTCGTCAATTTGTAAGTTGCTCTGTGTATATACTTGTGCTGGCTATAGTTTTGCAGAACTGCTCTTGCTGTTTGTTCATTTGGTTTCCTTTCTCTGCCCTTTTTTATGGGACTACACTTTTTTTAGTTCCATTTCTCCTCTAGTAATCAAGCACAAGGTCTTGCTGTCCCTTTACCAAAGGCAACATGAAACTTTGTATTGATTCTTGTAGTCCAATCGTGTAGTGCTTCACCTTTTCAATTTGAATGGGAACAAATTATTGCTGAAGGCAGTTAAATCGTTGTGTAAAATCGTTCCTTATTCTGGGAAAGCAACCATGGGATGCAGAATGTTATCCAGATTTTAAAATTGAGCATTTAAAGGCTATATCTTCTCCATATTTTAAGTCACCGGTTTGGAATCAGAGGAAAGATGCTGTGTTGAACTGAAAATTGTCTTGAGAATGAATGACATGTTTAGAAGTTAAAAGGACCATGTGACGGTGATTGCTTAAAGTAACAAAGGAGGCCAAATGGTGATTGTTCAGTGCTAAACATTGTAATATGTTAACACACGTGAAATTGCAAGAAGTACATTACTGATTGAACTTTTAGAATGTCAATTTCAACTACTTTACTGTCGCAAAGATACAGAAGAACACCTCTATGGACCAATTAAGCAGTTGAAGTTCCCGCACTCGAAGGTAGCATTGCATCGTTATGTAGAGCTATATCACATCTATCCTAATTCCTATGAAGTCCTGGATAAAGAAGGGAATTATATTATCCAAAGAGAAGAAAGAATCGACTATTAAGAAAAAACATATTTGGACTCTTAATTTTTATATTGCACTTTACATAAGCAAGTAGAATTGATTCTATCATCCTTTTAGCCAATTAACATTTTCCAAGGTCCATGCTGAATTGCAACGATAACATCATCACTTCCCTTAAATACATTATTTAGTGATGCCTTGAGATTTGGGATCTCCTTTTGGTTGTTTTTTGATTTCTTAATGAATGGATACACTACGAATACTAGAAATATAATGCTAGACTAGTGGTACATTTGTTCATTTTATTCTTTTTTAATTTCAAATTTCTCTCGGATTTAATATACTATGACCTTGGTTTGAACTTTGCAGTTGGGGGTCTTTTGAGTGCTACTTTTGGAAATGCAACAGAGCTGATAATATCAATGTATGCACTGAAAAGTGGCATGCTACGAGTTCTTCAACAGTCATTACTGGGCTCAATTTTATCAAACATGTTGCTGGTTCTTGGATGTTCATTTTTTGCTGGTGGAATTGTTCATTCTAATAAGGAACAGGTGTTTGACAAGGTAGGTTAATTGCCATCTCAGTATGGTTAGTCTCCTTTTAGACAAAGGAATACAGTATAGTTTAGGTTTGTGTTATCTTTTTCTTATATAATGATTGACTTATGGTGGGAGATTGAAATCACATTGACAGGCAACTGCCATTATGAATTCGGGATTGCTCTTGATGGCAGTCATGGGCCTGTTGTTCCCAGCTGTTCTCCATTTCACACATACTGAGTTGCACTTTGGGAAGTCTGAACTGGCACTTTCACGCTTTAGCAGCTGCATTATGCTCGTGGCATATGGTGCCTATCTGTTTTTCCAGCTGACGAGCAATAGGAATGCATATTCCCCTGTTAAAGAGGTTGGTCCCTTTTTGTTTTGGTTGATCTCTTTGTTGTTCCTCCGAAATATCTTGCTCATATTGTTATGGTATATTGCGATACACCTGTAGGTTTAGAGTAGAGTTACTGTCAAAGTCTTTAATTGGGGAATCATTTTACTACTGATTATGAAGCATAATTGGGGAGTCTTTTGATGTTATCATAGTGGTCCTCACTACCGTAACTTACGTTTCCAGTTGCTTCTCTCTTCCTAGCTCACCTCTTCAGTTCCTCAACTCGGCAGCCTTTTCACAAATCATGGTTCTTAGGCAAGTTTGGGCAGTGAAAGAACCAAAGTTAACCACTTTGTTGTCTTTTCTAACCTTCCAACGATCAATTTATTTAACAAAAGGACTGATAACGATCAATAATAACAGGCATTCCCATAACTGAGATTGCATTGAAAAGCTTCTTGTAGTTTTATTCCACCTTTTCTTCTTTGTAACTAGCTTTTTTGGTCTGATGAATGGCATGGGTTCAGGAAGAAAGTCAGAATGATGGAAGCTCGGGTGATGAAGAAGCTCCTGAGATCTCTAAATGCGGATCAATAATATGGCTCTTCATTTTGACTGTATGGATATCAGTCCTTTCAGAGTATCTTGTGAATGCCATAGAGGTAGACACATTTTGTTTTATGCGGCACCATTCTTTGGCATGTCTATTTATTTGATTTTTTTTTTACGTTGAATAATAACCATGTTTCCTTTGAAGAAGGAAGTACCTCCTCTTTTTCGGCTTTGTAGCCTTTTTCCTATTCTTTTTACATTGCCAGTGGCACATACTCGTAATGTTAATCCATATGTAACTTGAATAAATATGTCATTCCATCTTCATCTGACTTGCATCTCTCTCTCACAAAAATCTATATAGGTGAATTTTTTCCATGGCAGACAGAGACTTGTGTTTTTGTTTGAGGTCTTCTTACAATAAGCATGCTTATCTTTTCAGGGGGCATCTGTTTCATTGAATATACCGGTGTCGTTTATTAGTGTTATCTTACTCCCAATTGTTGGAAATGCTGCAGAACATGCAGCTGCTGTTATGTTTGCCATGAAAGACAAGCTTGTAAGTGTGTTTCTTGCTTACTTTGTATCAGAATTAAACATGAAATCATTAAGTTATGACTTACTGAATATCTTTGTAGGATATTTCTTTAGGAGTGGCGATAGGCTCCTCGACACAGATATCTATGTTCGGGGTAGGTGTTGAACATTATATATATTCATGTCAACTTCTAGCTGTTGTTAAATAGCATGCATGTGCTCATTTTAACTGCATGTTATACATCTCATTGACTACTTGGCAGCCCAGCGGATGATGTTAATTCCTTCTTGGGTGAATGCTATTTGGCCTATGCCAAAAGGGTTGTCATAAAAAAATCTTCCATCTCTTAAATTGTTCTGCTACCTCCTCATGTTCATCTCCTTCACGGAGTTGTTTAAATGCATGGCCTCTTGCATTGTCCTGATGGTGAATTCCAGTCGTTCATATATTTTACTCAATACCCCTTGATAAATATTAAATAATGTACTAGTGAACCGCATTACCAATGAACTTGTTAGCTTATCATTCACTGGCAGATGCTTGCCTCAGAAGTGTACTCTCAACGCCATCCAACCAGTTTCATTTGATTATACACTTTTATCTTCATAATTTAGATACTATTTTCTTCCAAATAACCTGCCAATTATACGCTTGATGCTTTATATCTGTTTTTGTGAGCTTATCATCGTATTGATGCCATGTTTCAGAAGATCATTCCATGTCTCCTTTGATCATATCCACAATTTAACAGTGCTGCTATCTTCAATATTGTGCTACTCACAATATTGGGTATGTTGCCCATATGTGGATATTTACCTCTTAACACCTGCTTCATTTCTATGACTGCAGATTCCATTTTGTGTGGTTGTGGGGTGGATCATGGGACGTCCTATGGATTTGAATTTTCAACTTTTTGAGACCGCCACTCTTTTCATGACTGTTCTTGTAGTAGCCTTCATGCTGCAGGTTTGCCCTATGAGAAAAATAACTGTTTCTCGACTTTTTGTACCTGCTTTATGGGGGTGCAAATCTCCCATGATAAATGATTTTCTGAAAATTTTTGAGATATAGAATATCTCTAGCTGTGAGCAATCATACTTTTCCAAAATTTGTAATGTAAATTTTGTTTCGAGAGCATCTGAGCATCTATGCCTTTTGTCTATTCGATAATTTAATGTTCATGTTGCATTTGCAGGAGGGAACTTCAAACTATTTTAAAGGACTAATGCTCCTCTTTTGCTATTTGATAGTCGCAGCAAGTTTCTTTGTACATATAGATCCTAAATCTATACGTAAGTTACTACCCATTCTGTCCACCAAGTAAACAACTGAATTTTTACATAAGCTTGTTGGGTTATGTATATGGTGGAAGTGTAGAGAATATGGCTTGTGATATTTTGACCTAGCTTCTCACTAGTCTCTAATTTGATGCGATGAGTCTTGCTAGTTGAACCAAAAATTTGAATTATGAAATCGTGTTCCGATGAGATAATGACATGTTTGTTTAATGTGATGTTTGTCTTTTGCGTTCTATGCTGAATTAAGAGGTTGTTCCATTAATTTTTTATCCCTGATGCTTGAAGCATGACATCCTGAAATGTTGTTTTGCAGAGGATAAACCCTCAAAGCCTTAGTTATTAAAATAGCAAACAGATTTGTTATGAAGACGTGCAAAGCTAAAGGCCGGTTCCATGTCTTTGAAACGATTTTTGTGAACGAAGGAATGCTTTCAAAGTTGGTCAATGAAGAGCCATGGATCATGAAGCTGTTCTGCCACAGCTCGAGGTCTGTCTTTCCCATGACAGTGCAATCAGATTGGACATCCATCAAGTAGCTCTAATTTTCCTATAGAATTTTAGCTGTTAGCAGCGGCAGAAGCCAGCGATATGTAATGAAAATGCAAAGAAGACGTTATTATTATTTTATTTGGTTTATAGTTCTGTGGTCATATACCATTACTTTTGGTGTCATTCCTGCCCTACATATGTATACTCATGAGCTACAATTGAATTGTCTTGTCCTGTTTCATCCTTATTTTTTTCTAGTGTAATCTTTTTTCGGAAAGTATTCATTAATGATTAATAAAGTCTGCTGATAAATCCATTTTGTTTCATAGTTGAATTCAGGCTGCGACTCTTCAACTTTATTGAACAATATTCCTTAATAAGACCCTGCCAGAATTTGAGAAATATACACTTTATTTCCCTTTGTTTTGACCAATTTTCAAGCAGCCGAGTCTTGTTTCGTGAAGGAAAAAATGATGTGTAATTTTGGTTGTTTACTTTTCAATTTTACAATAATATTAAGCCACTGAATTGTGATCAGGCTATTAGACCTGACCTCAACTGAGACATAAACAAGGTTGTGAAGATCATTTGCTTCAAAACATTGGACTCTTGAAATGGTTTCTCGTATATAATTTAGGATTACACTTCAGTGCCGCTAACCTTCTTTTCAGATAACTTTTTTATATGACATGTGTCCACTAAAAAGTCTATGACAGGTGAAACCGGTATGATATATTTAAAATATGTTATAACTCCACCGAAGTTGTAACATAACAAAAAAAATTATAACTCAACCCAAAAAGGTGTAACACCGCCCCCAAAAAATTATATCTACACCAAAAAAAGTGTTAACCCACCAAAAAAGTAATAAGTCCACCACCTAAAGGTTGGAACCTATTTCTAAAAAAAGTTATAACCCAAGGTAGAATCCAAAAGTTAGAACCCCACCCAAAAATTGGAACCTCACCCCCAAAAATCGAAACTTAATTCAAAAAAATTGGAACTCTACCCTAAAATTTGGAATCCAATCCAAAAATATTGTAATCTCACTTAAAAAAGTTGGAACCCCAACTCAAAAAGGTTGTAACTAACGAAAAAAGTTGTAACATTCAATTACGACCGACTGTAACAAATGATGACCGATCTTAATTTATCAATAGACTAGTCATAACTCGTGTCTGAGCTGGGTTAGAACATGTCTTTGGCAAGGGTGGATAGCCCTTAAGGGTTAGAGCATATTTATCGTTTTAATAGTTAAAGACTCAATCTAAATCTAATTAATTTCGCTATAATTCCAGGGCCCATCTCTTTGGATGAATTGAATATTGCTAGTCCTCTTCCACATTGGAAGTTTGTACGACAAGAACATTTGTGGCTCCTAAGAGAGCCTTTGAGCCATCGGTATTGACAAAGAAATTAGGAAGAAACAAATTGCCTTAGATGAATCCATCTTCCATTTGTATGGTTTAAAGTTAGTCCAATAATTTTAGACACGACCTATGAAATTGACGGATTTAGGCTTAACCTTAACGATTTTTTGGGTACTAAACAGATAGATCTGTTAGATATTTCAAAAAATGGATTGACATGAACTCGAATAAATATGACATAACCATACTAAACATGTGACATATCATGAACTCAACACGACACGACCCATTGACAGGTTAAAAGACCATAGCAGTCTTCTTTCTTTCTCTTCTCTGCATGGCAACAAAAACTTATTATTGGGAGCTTCAATGGTCCCTCCGATATTATTTGTAATGAAAATTCTATCAAGCAAACTGTCAAGATTATTGCATCTTTTTTGCTTGAGAAAGATATTATGTCACAGGGATGACTTAACATAGAGTTGGATCTGGATATATATGGATACAGATAAATATGAGAGAGAAAAAATTAACTTTCTTTAAGGAGGGTATTTTTAAGATAAAAAAAAAATGGACTTAAGTCATTACATTTAATTTTTAAACATGGACTTAATTCCTTATGAGTTTCGTTATAGAATTTATCTCTAAACAAGTACATTTAAGAGACTCACTTTCAATTTTCACTTTATTGCAAGGGACCTATTTTTGTTTTGACTACTACACCTAAACCCCATTTAATCAAATTTTAGTAGCCAATGCCTGCATATGTTCTCGAGTAATATTCAATCTAACAATGATACCATATCATTGGTGAAACATGATATTACATACCAATAATAATATAATATGTAGGATAAGTGAATTTCATATGTCAACGTATAAGTTGTATAAAAAAAATTCGTACCCATTATTGATGTTGATTTAAAAAGATAGATTATGTTTTTTTGTGAGTGAAACGACAAGATAAACCTCATTCATGCCAAAAAAAAAAATGTTAAGGACCAGAGTAAGCTGACCAAAAACACTCTGATGCTTAATTAGTATAGGTTTTGAGATTAAGCCAAATTAATTTGCAAGATAGGTTTTGTGTACCTTGGATTTAAGCATTTCTAACCTTTATAGTGTCTCATGATGCCTTTTTTGCTAGGATTTTCGTCGTTGCATTACACATATGTTCATCATGGGTGCCTATAATTTTGGCGGTTTCTTTATAGCTGCTAGTACCGCCTCTGATTTGTGAGATAGGATTTAGCACGGGCCTCTGCCAC